TTCAGTCAAAGTTCAAGTTGTCGCTGCTACGTACTGTTCCGGCGTGCATTTTTGCGGAACGAAGGGCGTGATCTGATTTGGGTCCCAGTTATGGGTATGTTGGTTCTCCGGTTTATGTTGGTCAAGGGAGTCCGTAGGCAGCCTCAATATGTGCTGCAAGGCCGTGGCCTCCTGAAGCTCTTGGACATGGTGAGTGGTGTCATTATGGTAGACCTGCAGCGTGCAGGAGGGGCGCCAGCGGTACCTCACATTGTGTTGTTGAAGGAGTGTAATAAGCGGTCTGAGGGATCTGCGCCAGGCTAGGGTATTCCCTGAGAGAGGCCCAATATTTCTGTGAAAATCTGAATAACCTATCAAACCCTAGAAACGTTTGGAAAGTCATAAATAAATTACAAACTCCCCCAATCCACTCCCAACCCTCCCCTGTCAAAGTGGATAACCAAACCCTTCAACTTCCCATAGTTGTAGCAAATGTCTTTAACAATTATTTTGTCGGATGCTCCACTGCCCTGATTGCGAAGCTAATAAATGAAACGCATCCTGATACTACAAATGTGGATCAGGCCCCACTAAATTTGCAGAGGCCCAACATAGACAAGATCATTTTTAAACCTGTTCCCTTTAGTGTCATTAAAAAACACCTTAATAACCTAAAAATTAAAAACCAGTCTGGACCTGATCAAATCCCAGCAATGCTGTTGAAGCTCAGTGCGCCGGCAATTGCTAAACCCGTCGCCCCACCCTAATTAATGAATCCTTGGTGTCTGGATACATACCCAAATTTTGGAAGACTGCGAGAGTAGTGCCTATCCATAAAAGTGGTGACACTACTTTGGTTTCTAACTATCGCCCAATATCATTGCTCCCGGTATTGTCAAAAATCTTAGAAAAATGTGTCCATACACAACTATGTGAGTACTACCAACAATCAAATGATCTGACCCCTGATCAATCGGCCGTTTTCACCAGAATCACTCTACTACAACTGCCCTCTTAAAAGTTTGCAATGACATCCAAACTGGCATGGAACAAGGAGACCTAACTGGAGCTATTTTCCTTGATTTTGCAAAGGCCTTTGACACGGTAGACCACAACATTCTACTGCACAAACTTAAAAACTCAGGTATTGGCGATTGTCCGCTAACCTGGTTTCGATCGTATCTATCAGATCGCTCGCAATATGTGTCCATTTCTGACAGCGACTCCCTCCCTCTCCCAGTCACGTGTGGTGTTCCCCAAAGTTCCATTCTCGGCCCCCTACTATTCACATTATATATAAATGATCTGGGGGGCGGAGCCAACTGCCGAGCTGATCAGACGCCATTTCTGACAGCTCCGACAACTAAATTAATATCTCGCCTAAATCTTGAACATCAAGCCTGATCCCATCACCCCAAACACATACACCGACCTGGGAACCTGCGCTGCATCGATAGATGCCCTTCTTTGCGAAAACAAAGACGCCGAAACAGAAGAGCAAGCCCGGGGCCTACTCCATGCACACACTGCCTACCCTGGCGGCGTTCTATGGTGGAGCCTATCAAGGCCCTACAAGCATCCCTGGCATCGGATCCCCCTCCGACTTGGGAGACTTCATGCCTGCAATGGGGCGACGCTCCCAGAAAGCTGGAACCCAGATAGAAGGTAGAGACATCGGGGCCATGCTTCAGCGGCCTGCTAGGCCCAAACAGGCCCCAGAGGAACATCAGCCTAGTCCTACCCAAACAGCTCAAGCTGAACTACAAGAGAGAAACAACCTCTATACAGCACCACCAGCACCCCTGGAGGGATCGCTACCAGCGACTAAACATGACCTACAAATCCTCCTACATGACTTTCACAAAATCCTGTCGCAAGAACTAGCAGGAATAAAAGCAGAGTTACAAAGCACAAAGGACCGGGTACAGGCCACAGAGGCTGATATGGCCAAAGTTACCACTAACCTAACAAAAGTGCAAGACTCGGTACACCAGCTCCAAAAATCCCACCACAATATGGCCTTACACCTGAACGCCCTCGAGAACAGCCATAGACGCAACAACATCAAGGTACGAGGTATCCCTGCAGGGATCACCACGGACGAGCTGCCGCACTACACAAGAAGGCTACTGGCAACAATCTTACCTCCAGCGGCGGCAAGAAAAATGGTGATTGATGGAATATACCGTATCGCGGGCCCCCCAAGAGCCGCCTCACAAACAGCTCGTGATGTTATACTTCGCTGTGCATCTTCCTCTGACAAGGGACAAATAATGACGGCGCTGCGGGGCAAGACCCCGCTAATGTTTGAAGACTCGAGTCTCACCTTTTACCAAGACTTAACGAGGGCCACCTTACAGTGGCGCCGATCACTTCATCCAGTGACCCAACAACTACGTACTGCCAATATCACCTACAGGTGGGGAGCGCCGGGCTCACTCTTAACTACCCACAATGGGACTACCCTCACACTTACCTCGCTCGCGGAAGCCTCATCTTTTCTGGAAACGCTGGGACTGACACCTGTAGACACATCAGAGGGCCTGAGGGACCTAGATAATGGCACTCCCTTGGCTTGAAGCACCGACCAGATGCACCGCCTGCCCATCCAAATACGGCGAGAGGAAAACAACACCAAGGACACTACAAAAAGACTAAGTATTCGGCCCACCCAGATAATAGCAATGAGAATATTGGTTTATATGTATATAAGTTGAATATCTCAGAACACCTACCATCCCCAACATGTACGACAGGGCCTTCTATCTATACTCCCATGACAAACGGGGACCCCCCCTTAAGGGCACCCAGACCCGCCTCAGACAGCATTACGAGACGTTCTACCAACCCCCCTCCCCCCCGCCGCCCCCTTGGTTAGGGGCACAAATAGCAAAACGATACATAAACGTTCTAGTGAAACACGCAGACACAGGAGTGTAGCCGAAGGGAACGTAAATACACTCTTGACTCTCCTGTCACATAATCATAGACAGACGCCACCCCTCAACGGCGACACACCTAGTTGAAGATTTTACAAGGTATTGTTTATTAGGAGCAGGGACCTGAGCTAACGACACAACTGACCTACAACAAAAACCTTCTTAGCTCCACACCTAGCCTCAGACCCGCAACCATAAGCTTAGATCCATCCCATGAGCACTGACATGCCCTGTTGCATCCGAAAAGCACTTACCTCATCACCGACATGTCCTATCAAATGCAGTAGATATACCATAAAAAGTGTTGTATAATCGTTGATACTTACCTATGCCTCGCAATTGTTTGCTTGTTCATAACCTACCTCTGCTGTTGTGGCAGAATAGGTAAAATTGGTTTATTATTGCACGACTAAATAAAGAATTTTTAAAAAATTTAAAAATAAAAATAAATAAATAAATGATCTGCCTAATGTCTGCAAATCCTGAAATGTACACATGTACGCAGACGACACAGTAATCTATGCGAGCAAATCCGATCTACCGCAGCTTGAGGCTGTGCTCCAAGACCAGTTTACAAAGGTAGAAAAGTGGATCGCAAAAAACAAACTCTTCCTAAAAACTGTCGCAATGATCTCTGGAACAGTACCTAAATTATGCAAATTACACAATTACCACCTATCCATCAAAACAAATTCAAATAGCACACTGACCGCAGTCCACTCTTTCAAATACTTGGGTATGTTGTTAGACCCCAATCTATCTTTTGGCCTCCACATAGAAAAACTTGCATTTAAACTTTATCCAAAACTAGGTGCCCTGTACAGAAACAAATCCTGCCTAAGTCCTACAGTAAAGGAAAAGATTGTACAGCAAATGCTGATGTCAAATCATTGATTATGGAGATGTAGTATATGCTTCTACACCGCAATCCCACATAAATAAACTCAATACATTGTTTAACTCGTTCTTCTGATGATTTGTGCTACGATGTAATTACAGGACCCACCATTGTGACATGCTAAAAGAACTAAACTGGAATTCAGACGCACCCTTCATCTTTCCAGCCTTGTGTTTAAGAGCTTTTCTGGAAAACTCCAACCGTACCTGAGCAGAATGCTCTCCTAGGTTGTTCCCACCTCCTATGACCTCAGATCCAGTACCAGCACTTTAGTCTACCACAATACAAAAAGAAAGCAGCCCGATCCTCCTCCTCCTACAGAGCGCCGCAATTGTGGAAGGACCTCCCACACAGTTTCAAATCTTCCTCAAGCCTTAAGTCCTTTAAGAGATCGCTCTCTACATACCTCAAAACAGAATGCACGCGACATGGTTGATTATAAATGTTCTACCTGTTCTAGGTTACATTTTGTATTAATATTGTTTTTGTGTTTTATTGTACCCTATTGTATCAATGCAATGATTTGTGGATCCAGGACATACTTGAAAATGAGAGAAATCTCAATGTATATTTCCTGGTAAAATATTTTATAAATAAAATAAATATAGGATATTTTATCCACTTTAAAGGGACACTATAATCACCAGAACAACTGCAGCTTATTGCATTTGTTCTCATAAGTAGAATTATTCCTTTCAGGCTTTTTGTTCTGGACCCTATAGTGATCATTTAAATTACATTTTTTTTTTATAAATCGGTTAGAGGAAAAATACATTTCCATTACAGGATTTTAAGCTGTATATTTGCTGGTGCTATTGCAAGCACAATGTATACCAACTTGAAATTTAACTTTTTGTGCATAGTGGATTGACTCAAAGCTGCCCCCAGACGCCTTCCCTCCATTTAATATAGCACTACAGCTCAGTGCAGTTATTTTGCCAAAGTCCCATCTATCCATTTAATATCAAAATGTTTATGAGCAGTTTGATAAAACAGAGTGTCTTCCTTTGCACCAAGGGAACCTCAATAATGACCAAGTTTACATTCTAAACGATCATCGTAAATTTTGCCCTATCTTGATGACAATGATTGGCCAAGAGCGCGGGTAGTGTTAAGTCACCACTCTTAACCAATCAAATGTGGAAATACTAAACGTTGGTTCTACAATCTTTGCAGAAACAAACCCTGGAAATCACTGTTCAAATGACAGCCACTATACATGGCATAGGCAGCAATGTAAATACTGCCTTGTCTGTAGTCTTTTTCCCCAGAACCACATTGAGCTACAGAGGTGGTTTCCTCGAGTTTCCCTTTAATATACATTTAAAAGAAAGTTGTGAATTGCATGGGAAATTATTAACACAAGTTATAGCCAATTTTCAATGTTTTATTCAATGGTATAGTTTCCAGAAAAAATAAAAAAGTTAAGTTTCAAACAATATGCAAAATCCATACATTTTTTTAGAGTAAAACTTATCTAAATCATGGGATGTCTACACTGTTCAAGAGCATGGCTTAAAATAAATCCCATTTTATCCCACAGGCTCTAAGCGTAGATGAACATACAAAAAGAAAGGTTTGGGCATCATATCATCTAAATGAAGTTGGTATGGTGCCAGGAGGTACCCAGGCTCATTTTACTTCAAGGGGTTCCCAAAGTTGCCTCTAGTGTCAATCTCAGCTGCCCCCTAGGTGGCATCAGGCTTCTAAAATTTCAGTTTCAGCAAGCGGTGGGTGGGGGCACCACTGATTGCCTGAGAGCTTCTCAGCCAATCAATGACTCCCCATTCACAAAACTGGCTTAGAAAAAGTATGTTTCGTTCCAAGTAAATAAGGAGTCACTGACACTTAAAGGTTTAGCCCCTGGAGGTAAGAGTGAGCCCGGGAGCCTCCTGGCACCATAACTACATTTAGATGAACTTGTTTTGGTGCCTGGAGTGGCCCTTTAAACATAGAGCTAAAGGTTTCACTCAAATGTGTGATAGCTGCTAAACATTTTCAAGTATTGTATTGCTACAGTTATGTAAGGGAGAGTGTGAACAATCAGGGCCATATGTTCCACAAAGTAAAGTATTTGTATTTTCTGATCAAGAAGGAGACATTTTTAACAAGCTGTAAAACACTGTACGGGCAAAACTAGTTGGCTACATAATCTAGAATTCTAACTTTTCTGCATGTTAAGAAATCTAAAGCTGTCATTATTCTACCAGATGACTCATTTGACCTGAATATGTTACTGAATGGCTGAAGGTAGGACTCTGGTTCCATCTTTCACACAGCAGTTAAAAAAAATACTCTGCACACCCTCAATGTATGTCTGGCTCATTTATTGTACCAGCAGATTAAACAGCAATTTAAAAACCAGCTGATGGTCTGCCAATAAACTCTCTCACTGACTGAGGAATAAAACAGGAGACAAGCAAAGATTTAGAACGCAAGTTGGTTAGACTACCTTGATCTTTCCTTCAATTATAAGGCACACATGAATACTTTAAAAACAGTGGCACAATACACTGTTTAGATGAACAGTGGAGGGATAAAGGACAAAGTAAACTCCTGTAATGTACTGTGTAACTGTATTTAAGCTTGAGAGCTTACACTTTAAAACAAATAACTTTAAAAATAACAAGTATTGTTTGTACATTGTCTCTTGTATTGCAAAAGCCAAAGCTGTAAAATGTAGTGTCACAATTCTACTCAAGAGATAAAAAGAATACACAATGTCATCATACTGCAAATTCTATAGAAAATTATACATGAAAGTTGTATCTAAATGGTGAAAAGAAAAAAAAAAAAATTCCAATTTAGTGAATGTTAGCTGTGTGAAATAAAAATCGTGCACAAAAATAGTGAGTTGATTGTGTGTTACAAACTTTTTGATGGTTTCTTAACAATCCAAGACCTTATAAAATAAAAGAAAAAGCATACCAAAGTGCCAGTGAAACACGAGTAATGTAGAAAATGGTGATCTGTGTGTTACGGTGCATTTCGGCAATTCCTTATTAACACTGGATCTTACGAAATACAAGAGAGCATCATGTCCAATGTGCAAGTGAGGCATACAATTAAAATGGTGAGCCGGTTGCTATCTGTTACATCGTTTTTTTTTTGTTTTTTCTTTAGTTTTCCAGAAATCATACATCTTATAAAAGTGAAGACATCCTGTCAATTTGGCAGTGAAACAAATACGCACATCTAAACAAATGTAAGTCAGAGGTTAATGAGCATTACACACAAGAAAATCTAAATAATATCTAATAAAGTCTATATATACACGCGATTCTAGAACTGGTGTGATACACTACTGTGTCAAAATGAAAATTCTCACAAAAAGTTCACTTCTTGATAAATCAGGTTTGCTAGTGTAACGTTACAGTGTATTACAGGAAAACACAAAAAAATAAAGACTTCTCAGATAGAATACAAACATAGGTATATTCTTATTTTTAAATACGAAAGTTTAACATTTTTAACAATATAAAAAACAGTTACAGAAACTCAGATGGGAATAGATCTTGATTCACACAATTCTTCAATGGCAAATTTTCTCAATCTCGCTGAGATCTCCAGTGTCTAATCGCCTAATCTTTGTATCTGAACAGAAAGAAAAAACAATTCAATTAATGTTTTTACAAAACTACTGTGAGATTCTATAAATATTATATATATATATACATATACACACACACACACAAAGCTTTAGTATACTTTTTTTTTAAAGAAGACAATGCACAAAACAAAAAGGTAAGCAAAAACGGTTATGGCTGCAGCATGCATACACATCCTTGTAAACCTCACAAACAAGGGAAAATATGATGTATACTCAATGAGTGGCTTCACAGGGGCACTGCAGGAAGTAAACTCAATATCTTGCACTACATTTTATTAAAACTGTTCAGATGGTTAGGTTTCATTTCCTTTGTCAGATTGGAGGCTGTAGAGCAGGGGTACCTAAAAGGTAGATCCCCAGATGTTTTTAAACTACAACTTCCATGATTTTTGTCATTCGAAAGGCATTCAAAGGATCATAAGAGTTGTTCTACAACATCTAGGGATCTACCTTTTGGGCGCCCCTGCTGAGCGGCTGAAACATTAATAACCCCTTCATGGCAGATCACATGCGATAACTGTCATGGTCGTTTGCATTTGCCTTCCTCTTGCTCTGAAGGAGTTAAAGGAGCACTATAGGGTCAGGAACAAACATTTCTGACCCTATTATGTTAAAACCACCATCTAGTCTCCCTGGCCCCCTCTTGACTCCATAAATATAGTAACATCTTACTTGTATTCAAGCCTGAAGTGCCGGCTCTGCCCATCTAACTCAAAATAGCAAGGTGCCTGCTGACATCACAAGTGTTGTTCTGAGCCAATCACAATGCTTCCCCATAGGATTGGCTGAGACTGAATGAGGCAGATCAGGGGCAGAGCCAGCACAAGTCAAACACAGCCCTGGCCAATTGGCATCTCCTCATAGAGAATTGAATCAATGAATGTCTATGAGGAAAGTTCAGAGTCTGCATGCAGAGGGAGGAGACACTGAATGTTTGGATGCCTTTTAGGCAGCCACGACCCAGGAAGGATCTCTAACAGCCATCTAAGGAGTGGCCAGTGAAGTTATCACTAGGCTGTAATGTAAACACTGCATTTTCTCTGAAAAGACCGTGTTTACAGCAAAAAGCCTTAAGGGAATGATTCTACGCACCAGAACAAATGCAGCTGTAGTTCTGGTGACTATATTAGTGTCCCTTTAATATAACATTATATGAAAAGTGTGAAGACAAAATAAAATTCATACATAATGCACTACAAAAGACCTTTTTCTCTTGTTCATTTAGATCTTTAGAATGTTTTTTCTTTAGATAACATTTTAGAACAAACCATGTGAGTGAAATTTCCAATGTATAGAGGAAGTCTTATTTTACTGTACATATTTGAACTGGTTTCCACTTTGGCATGGTGATGTACACTACAGAAAAAAAAACTATGTGGGTAGTGACCTCTCCCAATATATTCAAACAGTGTGCCACGCAGGGTTATTTAGCAAAGTGAGAATTGTAAGGAATTTAAAGTGAATTTCAAAATAGGTGAATTGTAATCGACTTTGCAAATTGTTCCGGTTTAGCATAAAATAATTTGTTGTAAATCTGAAGTAGGTGTACTTTGGGATTTTTAATTTCACTGAAGTGTCCCTTGATCCATATAGATATTGGGACCACTGACCTTGTGATCTCAACATTTATGGATTTTGCACATGTAAATTGGGGAGGGGCATCTGGGCGCATGAGTATTTTTTAATTTATTCATTTGCTGGCAATATTGCCAACACAATCCGTAGAATGAATACAGATCTTTGTGAAGATAAAACTTGTCAACTCCAGCATTTACTGCTTACCTGTGGTTCACACAACTTCCTAAAAAATTACAAGTACATTCAATTTTATTCATGGGTTGTGCAAACAGAATTTATCAAATCTATAAAAAAAAAAGTTTGGTCCCTCCCCAGCCAATTCTTGGCACAGAAAGTTATGCCAGTGGAATTGAGATCTATTAGAATTAGGTGAAGAACTGACTTAGGAGATCACATCTTGTGCTTGATGGAGAATATAGAAATGGAGTCAATGATGTCACTGTGTTCGGACAACAATGTGCTGGCAATGAAGCGGTCATGGAGAATTGCTCTACTTCGTGTAGGGAGTGAAAGCAAGATGGGACATTAGCATACTACCAAGACTGCAGAGCATGGCACTGCCAGCACCCCTGGATAGGTGGTATTATCGGAGATTTTTTTAAAGCAAATTAATAGTTAATCACTTTTATAATAAGGGACGTATTGACGGAATAAAAAAAAAAAAAAAGATGCTATACGAGAGGTTAAGAATCATGTTCCAATAAAGTGATATCAGACGTACTGAACTGCTTTTCAATATGATCCAGCATGTAGAGACAGCTTTTTTCCACAAGGCTGAGTGCAATGCCCTTCTTTCCAAATCGTCCCGCACGGCCAATACGATGGAGATATGTGTCATAGTCTACAGTTCCGTCTAGCTGCAGCGGCAGATCGAAATTCACTACAATAGAAACCTGTTCTACGTCGATTCCTGAAAAGCAAGTGGCAACATTGCATTAGAAATCTGGCAAGCTTCAATAAAAACAAAACAAAAAACCCCCCACTAATTACAGCTTGTAAGGAAGACAGAACTGCGTCTGAAAATTAGGAACAACTTTGGGAGACACTTCAATTTAAGTGGTTAGTGCAATTTACCATTTAGTAACATTCATGGAATAAAGTAATGTTTAATGAAAAGAATATAATTAGATTTGGATAGTAGGTGTGGAGAGGAGGGGGGCCTCCTGTGGGAAGGCTCTCCTGCTCCCACTTTCAGTCAATGCTTTGGCACAAAAATCAACTGATAGGGTGGAGAAAGACTAAGTACATATCTCTTTAATAAGTAACGGATTTACCTCTGGCACAGACATTGGTTGTAATGAGAACTTTTTCATTCCCATCACGGAATCTCTGGATCATGCGTGCGCGCTCAGTGACCAATAGCTCTCCAGTTAGCAATGACACCTGATGTCCGTCTTTTCGCATTGTGTGATACAGCCAGCTGGCTATTTTACGAGTCTGTTGTAGAGAAAATATAAAGACATGTTAAAACTGACAGCTCAGATCGGTGTAATATTTTCTTAATGCATGGACTTTACACTTCTCCACACTGAAAAAATCTTTTTGGTTTGCATATGTTTAATACATTAAAATATATATATAGATTTATTTTTGACAGGAGGTCAGCACCAGCCTGACATGTCCCTTTAACATGTTTTACAGGGACCAAAATAATATCCATTGCATTTGCTTGGTAGCCCAAACTTCAAATAAGATTAAGTCAGATACATCATTCAATTGTAAACCAACAAACCCAAAATACATTCTTCACAAGACTTTTGTTCAATTCGTCTCAGTGCCAGGAAGAAGGGTCTTTATTGCAGAGGAAGGCTGTGCTGCCACTATAAATGTACGGGTGATACTCGAAAAATTAGAATATCGTGCAAAAGTTCATTTGTTTCAGTAATGCAACGTAAAAGGGGAAACTAATATGAGATAGACGCATTACATGCAAAGCAAGATATGAAATCACGGCTTGAACTAAGTGCGATGATTATGGCTTACACCTCATGAAAGCCCCAAATCCACAATCTCAGTAAATTAGAATATTACATGCAATCAATAAAACAAGGAGTGTACATAGAACAATATCTGAAAAGTATAAGCATGCATATGGACTCAGTACTTGGTTTGGGCCCTTTTGCAGCCATTACTGCCTCAATGCGGTGTGGCATGGAAGCTATCAGCCTGTGGCACTGCTGAGATGTTATGGAAGACCAGGATGCTTCAATAGCTGCCTTCAGCTCTTCTGCATTGTTCGGTCTCATGTCTCTAATCTTTCTCTTGGCAATGTCCCATAGATTCTCTATGGGGTTCAGGTCAGGCGAGTTTGCTGGCCAATCTAGCACAGTAATCCCACGGTCATTGAACCAGGCTTTGGTGCTTTTGGCAGTGTGGGCAGGTGCCAAGTCCTTCTGGAAAATGAAGTCAGCATCCCCATAAAGCTCGTCTGCAGAAGGAAGCATGAAGTGCTTCAAAATCTCCTGGTAGACGGCTGCGTTGACCCTGGACTTAATGAAGCACAGTGGACCAACACCAGCAGATGACATGGCTCCCCAAATCAGCACAGACTGTGGAAACTTCACACTGGATTTCAAGCATCTTGCAGTGTGTGCCTCTCCATTCTTCCTCCAGACTCTGGGTCCTTGGTTTCCAAATGAGATGCAAAAGTTGCTCTCATCAGAAAAGAGGACTTTGGACCACTGAGTAACAGACCAGGTCTGTTTTTCTTTAGCCCAGGTAAGATGCTTCTGACGTTGTTTGTTGTTCAGGAGCGGCTTGACAAGAGGAATACGACATCTGAAGCCCATGTCCAGGATCCGTCTGTGTGTGGTGGCTCTTGGTGCACTGACTCCAGCCTCAATCCACTCCTTGTGAAAGTCCCCAACACATTTGAATGACTATTTCCTGACAATCCTCTCCAGGCTGCGGTCATCCTGCTGCTTGTGAACCTTTTTCATCCACACTTTTCCCTTACACATAACCTTCTATTAATGTGCTTTGATACAGCACTTTGGAAACATCCAACTTCCTTCGCAATTACCTTTTGAGGCTTTCCCTCCTTATGGAGGGTGTCAATGATTGTTTTCTGCATAACTGTCAGGTCAGCAGTTTACCCCATGATTGTGATTCCTACTGAACCAGACTGAGAGACCATTTTAAGGCTCAGAAACCCTTTGCAGGTGTTATGGCTTACTTAGCTGATTAGAGTGGGACACTGTGAGCCTAGAATATTGCACCTTTTCACAATATTCTAATTTACTGAGATTGTGGATTTGGGGTTTTCATGAGCTGTAAGCCATAATCGTCGCACTTATGACAAATCACGGCTTGAACTATCTTGCTTTGCATGTTATGTGTCTATCTCATATATTAGTTTCCCCTTTTACGTTGCATTACTGACATTAATTAACTTTTGCATGATATTCTAATTTTTCGAGTATCACCTGTATTGAGGACAGTTTGCCTTGGGCCTGTGGAGCATGACCTAACTTTTCAAACTACTGGTCACCAACTTGCAAGGAGGCTAGGTTTTAGATCCTCAAACAGGGGTTCACACTATTTATTTATAAAATAATTTACTAGGAAGGATACATTGAGATTTCTTTAATTTTCAAGTATTTCCTGGGAAGTCAAATGTAATTTTATATTTTTTTCCCAATACAGATATAAAACATTCCACTGTCCTTTCCTCGCCTACTGTAATCCACTTCTCAGTGGTCTTACATGCTCCCAACTTGTGCCATAATGAATGCGGCAGCGAGGCTCATCCTCCTGTCCACCTGCACCTCCCATGCCTCACCCTTCTGTCAGACCCTACATTGGCTTCCTAGAAAATATAGAGCTCAATTTAAAATCTCTACATAATGCTGTTCCCACCTATCTATCCTCCCTTATACACAAGTATGTCCCGTCTGGCCCTTACGATCTGCTGAAGACTTACGTCTATCTTCTGTCCGTACTCTCACCTCTGATGCTTGCCTTCAAGATTTCTCGAGGGCTGCACCGTTCCTGTGGAACTCACTTCCCTCCTCCGTTAGATGCTCACCTAGTCTCCACTCCTTCAAAAATTCGTTAAAAAACCCACTTCTTCATAAAAGCATATCAATTAAACTGTTAATAGCTCCTCACTGATTCCTCTTCTGCAAATGTCACTAGTCTAATACTATCCTTACCTTTTTGTGTCACTTTACCCCACTCCCTCTAGCATGTAAACTCACTGAGCAGGGCCCTCAATCCCTCTGTTACTGTGTCACTATACCCCACTCCCTCTAACATGTAAGCTCACTGAGCAGGCCCTAAATCCCTCTGTTACTGTCACTATACCCCACTCCCTCTAACATGTAATCTCATTGAGCAGGGCCCTCAACCCCTCTGTTCCTGTGTGTCCAACTTGTCTGGTTACAACTACATGTCTGTTCATCCACCCATTGTAAATCGTTGCGGAATTTGATGGTGCTATATTAAGATCATAATAATAATAAAACAAATAGAACTACTAAATTACTTGTTAAGGGGGCCATGAAGATAAAAATAATTAGCCAATTTAGATTTAAAAAAATAAAATAACTGTGCAGGGAAGACCCATTGTTTGGCTAACATTTAGTGATATTTACTATAGTATGACAAATTAACTTTAGCGGAGATCATCATTTTAAATTGAACAATTCAATTAACATACCCTCTGCTGTTTAGGAATGGTATTCCCTCCAGTAGTTACAGTACCTGACAGAAAATAATTGCTTGGGCAATCGTTACTGCCCCATAGATGTTACATAGTGCCTGATACTTCTGTTCTTTGTTTTCACAAGGATCAAAAAACTGCTGTATGTTTTTAAGTGTTAGCTCTTCTTTCTTTAGTTTTATGATGTTTGGATCTGGAACAATTCTCTCAGCAAAGCTCCATACTGTGTCTTCAAAGGTGGCCGAAAAAAGCAACATTTGACATGTTTCTGGCATAGCTCTGTGAAAACACCGTGTGAGTGAGATTATTGAAGTCACATAAAAACATTTAACCCCTTAAGGACGGAGCCAGATGTACACGTTGTGAACAAAACGTAAACAAAACCTGGCATTTGCGCTACATGTCTGTCCAACCGTAATTCACCTCTTTCATAGTAAATGCACCCATCCTTATTATATATCATTTTATTCAGGGGAAACAGGGCTTTCATTTAATATCAAATATTTAGCTATGAAACATAATTTAATATTAAAAAAATGGGAGAAAATAAGATTTTTCTTTAAATTTTTTTAGTTCTACATGACATTTTAACTGTCAATGTCATAATACTGTTTGCTTTTACTGCAATAAAATACACATATTTGTATTCAGCAAAGTCTCACGTGTAAGACAGTACCCCCTATGTACAGGTTTTATGGCATTTTGGGAAGTTACAGGGCCAAATATAGCATGTTACATTTGAAATTTAAATTCGCCAGATTGGTTACGTTGCCTTTGAGACTGTATAGTAGCCCAGGAATGAAATTTACACCCATAATGGCATACCATTTGCAATAGTAGACAAACCAAGGTATTGCAAATGGGGTATGTCCGTCTTTTTTAGTAGCCATTTGGCCACAAACACTGGCCAAAGTTAGCGTTGGTATTTGTTTGTGTGTGAAAAATGCAAAAAAACGCCAATTTTGTGACTAAGTAAAAATAAAGGTACTTGCTCACCTTGTTGAGAGCCAATCAACACTGGGCTCTCAGTTAAACCAGCACTGTGCCTTTAAGAGGGCACAACTCTTCTTTGGCAGCAGGAAATAACAGTTCAAGGAACTTGTAAAAATAATATCAATTTATTACATAAACATATATAAATAATAAATAAAATACCATTAAATAATGGTCAATAAAACAAAAGTCCTTGCTGTCCGAGACGCGTTTCACCTTCTGCAAAGGCTTTTTCAATCGGTATCCTGCTGTCCGCGCTTCTCTTTTTAAATACCCAAAAGTGCCTCCTCATTGGTTCTGTTGATCTTGTTCACCTGCCATCTATTATCCAATCGAGGTAAGGGGCTCAAATTCCTCCATTATTAGTTCTTACAAAACTGGAAGTGACGTATCGCAATGTCCGCGACGTCACTTCAGGTATTTCCGGATCGCCATATTCACTGCTGGCAATAGGTGGCAAATGGCGAACCACCATTTATATATCCTATATTGAACCTATGGACGATATAACTATTGACTGGCTATTGCCAGCAGTGAATATGGCGATCCGGAAATACCGGAAGTAACGTCGCGGACATTGCGATACGTCACTTCCCGTTTCGTAAGAACTAATAATGGAGGAATTTGAGCCCCTTACCTCGATTGGATAATAGATGGCAGGTGAACAAGATCAACAGAACCAATGAGGCTTACGTTGTATAGATCTATATAATTTTTTAAAAATATTTATATAGTGATATATACGTATATATTTATGTATATAGATATGTATATTTCATTCTACGTGTATTTTGATATATATTAATTTCACAATACAGTTAGAACGAAATAACATCTATATATTTTTTAATTATTTATTTTTAATTTTATTTTTTAATGTATTTACATTTTTTTTATAATATATATAAAAATAATTATATATATATTTAATCAGTATACGTGTAATTTGATTATATATCTAAGTATCTAATTTTGTTTAAAAATTTTTTTTACACTTTTATTTCATTTGATTTCCAGCCAGCAGGGGGACCACCTGTCATTACAGTCAGGCCCCCTGCTGGCAATGCTGCAGCCAGCTATCCCGGCCATGTGATTGTGAGGTCCTCGCAAGGACCTCACTCTCACATGGCCGGGGGGCTTCCAGGGGGTCGAACGTGCTGCGGGGGGCTCCCTGGGAGTCCCCCCAACCACGATTGCCGGCGACCGGGTAAGTAGGAAAAGACCGAAGGGCGTACTATTACACCCGGCGGCGTTTAGAGCCGCTTAGAATAGGGCGTAATAGTACGCCCTCTGGTCTTAAGGGGTTAACGTACCTAGTATGCAGCAATATACAGAGCACAGCATTTCTAACATGTTTTGCATAATGGAAACATGCTACAAAATGTCCAAAGGTAGAGTTTTCACTTTGCCTCTGCGGATCTCTGAGAGAATTGAACATACATCCTGATCAATTCACATTGAAGAGTACCGGTCATAGCCCACACTACATGTCTCCTATATCCATTAGCATGCATTGTACTGCCTAAAGACGGCGGCTTATAAAAATGTAAATGTGAGTTGAATATACAGTTTCCTTATTCATATAACTGGATACCAAGGATTAGAAGAGCAGTACCCACCTCAGTGGCAAAGTATTGGCACTTACCTTTTAACACGAATACTGTGATCACAGTAACCTTGAAGGTCAATCATTACATCTGCCTCATCCAACACAAAGACACGGATGTATGCAACATCGATCAGCCTCTGTTTAAAACACCAGTCCATCACAGTACCAGGGGTGCCAATGATAATCTGGGCTTCAATTCTGCTATCACTGGAGGCTAAGCAAAAACAAAAACAAATACACAGTAATTGCAATTCATTTTCAGCCAAGACTCAAAACAAACTGTATATCCTTTGCCTCTGTTCAAATTAAATGGGGAACTGCCACGTCTGAAAGAAAAAAAAAAAGAAAAAGAAAAAAACACAACGGCATTAAATAAAAAAAATAAACACCTATAACTTATCGTAACATGCGATGGTCAATTTTCTTTTAACTTTTTATTTATCTAGCAAATTTCAGCACAATCCAGTTCAGATCAGGCAGTCACAACACACATCGACAAAAGAAAAATACATGTACAAACTTAGAGACTCCACATACGCCTGTTTCCTCTCACTGCGTAGACTACTTTGATGTCTTCACAGAACTTTCCCATCTGCTCTATAACTTCTCCTGTCTGCAAAGCCAGCTCAAATGTGGGACTAAGACAGATGCACTGTAGGAGACAATTGGAAAACAGAAGAGAAGTGGGTATGCCCATTTGTTTAACTATTGTGTTCCCCAATTAAAGGGACACTCCAGACCCCTAAGCACTTTAGCTTGAAGAAAAGCTTTATATGGGAAGAGTGTGTCCTCTTTATTTCATATTGGAAATAGTGCAGATTTCAATAAAAATGTACACTTTTCCAAATTATACTGGTTACATCCCCAGCTTTTCAAGCAGACAACCGGTCCTATTTCTGGTTTCATTAACTCAGGGGAGCTAAACTAAAGAGGCAGCAATTATACAGAGCAACTGCCTTTCAAAGACTTCTAATTGAGCTGCTTTGGGAAGTCTGATTGGACAACCACAGAAATTGTAAGCTGTGCTAGGAATGGAGGACTTGCAAAGGCTGCAGACAAGAGATCTGCAGTTAATGCAAGCCGTTTTTAGATATAATTGCAATGAACAAAACGCATAATTAAATGTATGCGTGTTGTCATTTGGGGTATGTCTACTAGACTGATTTTTATTTTGTTTGTATTTGGACAGTGGAGTGTCCCTTTAAAAGCTGCTTTTAAAAAAAATGCTCATTACCTGTGGATACTTCTTCATCGGGCTGACACGGCTCAGCATAGCAAGGACAAATGCAGCAGTTTTCCCAGTCCCTGACTGACTCTGGGCAATCAAATTTTGGGGCCTGGAAACACATTAATAAATGGAAATAAAAAATTCAACACACTGAATATTGTAATAATAATAAAAAAAATATTGTCAATGTGTGTGCATGTGAGTATGTGGTGTATGTTTGGGACGCCGCAAATTTCAAATAAGTGTATTAGAAAGTATGGTACTTATGGACGACAGATGCTGAAGTTAGTATAGAACATTTACACTGAAAGGGGGAAAATCAATGTGTGACTACTCCTCCATGAACTACTTGAACGCAAACAGTTGAAATACCACTTACAAAAAATAATAAAATGGTTACAATCTGTCTTACTTAAATGCTTGGATTGAAAATCTAAAAAAAAAAACTTGTCTTTAAATCTGGCCTAATTTGTGCAGGGACGTGGGATAGTAAAAAAAAAAAAAAAAAATTAGTTGGAAAGGAAATGTGCCTAAACCGAAGCCTGAATATTAATGCACCAGAATTTAGATACTGTATAATCAACCATGTGGCAGATCAACTGGTAATATTAATTTAAAAAGCCTAGTTAAACCATTTGAAGCTCCTGCACTTGCTACAAATCCCCAAAGTTTTGCCAAACCTGGAAGTGACTCAGCCAATTAATCCTCTATGGCAGTGGCTGAGCTTATCTGAAAATGCCAAGCGCAGCTTTGAGAGTTGCAGTAAATCTTTCAGATTTCTACTGCAGAAAGTTAACACCTATATGACAACAGCTAGAAAGTGATAACCCTTGTTCTAAAACGTATTATTGGGACAAAGAAGGGAAATGCATCCTGTTGGGAGTGAGAGGCAGAAAGGTGAACTTATTTTCCCATTTTTGTTTTGTTCTATAAGTAAATACCCATTTAATATTACTGATATCAAATCCACCCAGCTTAACTATGACAAACAACATATTACACATGAAATGCCTATAGTGTCCTAACACAAAGATTACTTCATTAACTACTTACGGATCTGCAAGCATCATAGGAAGAGCGGTCTCCTGGATTTTTGAAGGTCTGTTAAAGCCCATGGAATAAACTCCATCTAGTAACTGCTGCTTTCTATAAAAATAAAAAGTTTTGGTTTTTTAAAAATCCATTAAAAGGTGAATGCAAAATATGTAGCTGTAACTATTTTTTGTAGGCAAAACAATACATTGGCTCAACAAAAATGAGGAAAAAAAAACCAACCCAAAACATCCAAAAGAAACCCTTTTCATTCCTGGATACATTAATTTAATGCAGTCTTTGTAGACATGGTTTTAAATAAATATTCTATAAAATACTTAATACTAGTTTATCTTTACATTCACACAGAAAAACATTTATGGTCACTCTACACCGAATTACAAAGGTGATGTGAGCCTACCATCAGCTCTGAGAATGGCTTATAATCGCACAGATTTGTTGAAACCACTGCAGCTATAAGCCGGCCTCTCAGATCTATCAAACTGCTTGAACAAGGGTTTCAGGCTGTGTGTGCGCCAATTGTGTCCAAGCGTCTGGGCGCACCACCTAGGCTGGGCACACTCACTACCATGTAGAAATACTAATAAAATAAAATCCCTTTATTTCCTTAATATTTATGAAACGTGACCTGCCATAAGCAAGTTATGTCGATAACACACACACACACACACACACACAATGCATCACTAGCCCAAGCAGCAGAGGAGATGGGCCGTGCAGACCTCTAGTTTAACAATGAGTGGAAGGATGACTCCAGGGGACTCCTGACCCTATAACTACTTCAACGAGATGAAGCACTTACACTACCTGCAGAGTGTAAACTGAAATGTGCTCCTTCCGCCCCAAGTCATTCTTGTGCAATGGATGCAAGCTTATTCGCCCAGCCTATAAATGATATATCCCAAAATACTGTGTGTGTGGCTGGACAATCAGCAATGTGACATATTACTGGGTAGATGTGCTAAATATCTAGTAGACAATCTGAGGAGGTTACAGCTGTACAGGTCATACCTTTTCAGGCAGCGTATGTTATACAATAACATCCTAAATAGCCAGTACCCTGCTTATGGGTTTGGTTACCAAGTACTTACAAATGTAGCTCCTCAAATGATTTAACGGAGAACAGTGGGGAGCTAGGATCTCTCTGTAACACTTCCACACTGTGATAGGATTCCACCAACGAGCTACGAATAAGCTTATTTAGCAAAGAACGTGCTGCACGGTCATCTGTGCGGGAAAGAAAACGGAAATTTTTACTTACCGTAAATTCTTTTTTTCTTAATACGGTGGCAGTACATGTGGGTTTTGCTCCTTTCCTGTGGACAAGCATCTAACAAGATTAATTTAAATCAACAAACACCCCTTCCCCCTTGCCCTATGAAAGGGTTATCCGGCAAAACCTTCCTCAGTAAGTAGCAAGAAAAACCACAGATAAAAAACTTATACTGTAATCAAGAAAATGTAATATAGAGGGAGGGAAGCTGTACTGCCATATTAAGAAAAAAAAGAATTTACGGTAAGTACAAATTTTAGTTTTTTCTGTCATATGGTGGCAGTACATGTGGGATATAGCAAGATCCCCAACCCGGACGGGTCCAATGTCACCCCAGGTCGCAACCTTTACGCCCAAAGGCAGTTTCAGAGGATGAGAATATCTCTAGCCTGTAGAGTTTAATGAAAATGTGGAAAGGCAGCCCAAGACGGTGCCTCACAGAAGTCCACTGGAAGAAAACAAGAGCTCTTACTGCGCCTGAGGCAGCCAATACCCCAAGTGTAAAGAGCCGTGAGAGAAACCGGAACTTGAAGACCACCGGGAGAAAACTGCCAACCTACTCACTCGTCTGAGTCAAATGAAAAAGAATTGCAGGAAGCACCGTATCCTTGTAATTTTTATTGGAGGATAACAAACAGATGGCCAGAATACCTGAGCTCTTCAGTCCTAGAAAGAGATATGGCAATGCTCCTTTAAGAAACAAGAAAAAACAATGGCAGATGAAATTTAATGTTGAAAAATGCAAAGTTATGCACTTCGGCGTAAAGAATACACAAGCAACGTATATACCCTTAATGGAAGCGAATTAGGGATAACACATGAAAAGGACTTGGGAATTGTTATAGACAAACTATGCAACAATGTGCAATGTCAATCAGCAGTGGCCAAGGCCAGTAAGGTATTGTCATGCATGAAAAAGGGCATTCATTCTCGGGACGAGAATATAATTTTGCCTCTTTATAAATCACTGGTAAGACCCCATATTGAATATGCTGTGCAATTTTGGGCACCTGTTCTAAAGAAGGATATTATGGCACTAGAAAAAGTGCAGAGGCGGGCTACAAAACTAATAAAAGGAATGGAACATATCAGCTATGAAGAAAGGTTAACAAATTTAAACCTATTTAGTTTAGAAAAATGTCGCCTGAGAGGGGATATGATAACATTATACAAATATATTCGGGGCCAATACAAACCATTGTGTGGAAATCTATTCACAAACCGGACTTTACATAGGACACGAGGCCATGCGTTTAGACTGGAAGAAAGAAGATTTCGTCTAAGGCAAAGGAAAGGTTTTTTTACTGTAAGAACAATCAGGATGTGGAATTCTCTGCCTGAGGAAGTGGTTTTATCAGAGTCTATACAGATGTTCAAACAGCTACTAGATGCATACTTGCAAGAACAGAATATTCAAGGATATAATCTTTCAATGTAGGGTAATAACTGCTTGATCCAAGGATAAATCTGACTGCCATTCTGGGGTCAAGAAGGAATTTTTTTCCTAGCTTGTTGCAAAGTTGTGCTTCAAACTGGTTTTTTTTGCCTTCTTTTGGATCAACAGCAAAAAACAAATGTGAGGTAGGCTGAACTTGATGGACGCAAGTCTCTTCAGCTATGTAACTATGTAATTTAAGTCCCTGAGGAGAGGTGGCATAACCACCAAAAGGAAAGCAGAAACAAACGGTGACTCGTAGTACAAACCCGTGTTCATGAGCAATACTGAAAAAAAATCTGGGGATGAAAATGACTGAAGCTCACGGAACCTTCTTGCCGATGTGATGGCCCCCAAGAAGGTAGCCTAGAGGAACAAAACTTGTAAGGGAAACCTTTTCACAGGATTCAAAAGAGAGTTATCAAGAGCCAGTAAAATTCAAGGATAAATCCCAGGAAGGAAAAACAGAACTCTAGGAGGATGACTGGACCTGGCAAATTACCAAAAAAAAAAAAAAAAAAAATCTTAAACTTAACATATGGATGCAAAATCTTCTTTCAGCAGGATTCTCAGGATTGAGGCCTGAACCTCAAAGCAGAAAACACAGAAGCCTGCAGAACAATATCCTGAAGACATTAAAACATGGGTCTACAGACAGATGAACACACCGGCAGTGGTGTTCCCAACACCAATTAAAAAAAAAAAAAAAAAGCCTGACCTTTATTAGAAATTAGACCTTCAAAGCAGGAAATCTAGTTGATCAAAGTAACAGAGCCAAATCTATCTTCTTGCAGACCTAGATGATGAAGTAACCTAGCAGTAGCCAGGCCATTAACCTGAACCTCTACTTTCCTCGTAGCTTCATACTCCTTGTAAATTAAGAAATTAAGTGTATAATCTTTTACAGAGATCATTTTGAAGGAAAGATTAATCTTACCTCAAAATGCCTCTGAGCCGTGTGGGGGGGCTGGTGACACGGCGTACCACTCCTGGCAAGCATCCATGCTGTCAGTGGGTACTGCACAGCTTCATCTACGCCGAGCATCAAATTTCGCGGCTTTAAAAAATAAATAAAAAAAAATTGGTATGCGCATGCGCGGCACCGGAACTTTTGGGGGAACGCATCACCTCCCGGGCGTGCGTTCCACCACTGTGCGCAGGGTTCCACCAGTTGTACCTGTGCCTCAAGACCGCCTCCAGGAAGTGCTCGCCACAACCCTCTCTGCATAAGAGGCAACGTATCCACTTGCTCAGTAACCATAACGGAAGGAGCATGGTCTCTCAGCTAACCGCTCGGGCAGCTCTCGGACCGGATTCCCCCAGACCAGCAGCCTGTGTGTCTCACCCTCCAGATGCTGTGTCCTTCCCTCTTGGGACAAGAAAGGAAACTGAGGTAGGTTTTGCCGGATAGCCCTTTTATAGGGCAAGGGAGAGGGGTTTGTTGATTTAATTAATCTTGTTAGATGCTTGTCCACAGGAAAGGAGCAAAACCCACATGTACTGCCACCATATGACAGAACAAAAACAGTTTACATTTACAATGTCAATGATTTTTCCTGCCAATATAGTTTTGTATGTTTATGCCCCACAGGACAAGCTATTGGGAAAATCCTATGATACCATGACATTCCTGGCATGTCATCTGTGAACTTGGTATTCAATGACAGCTGTATAGAGCGATGTGCAAAGTGTATACAGATTGGAAGGGTAACAGTGGAGTTAAAGGGGCACTACACTCCCATAAATCACTGGATGGCCGCATGACCCCAAGGCTTGTGTCAGAGAAGTGCCAGTTATAAGAGAAATCTGCATGTTAATAATTGAACTTAGTAACATCTCCTGGCTGTCAAGCTGGGAAGGTTTCTTACTATCATTTAAAGGGAGGAATGGGAACAATTTTAAAGCAAGGGCCTAGCTCATTTGCTGAAGGTGCTCATCTGACACTTTCAGCCAAAGAACAGATCTTGCAAGACACAGCTTAGCTCAGAGGAGCTAAAAGAAGCGTCTTCCAGGAGTTTCTGGCTTCAGACCAGTGCACACCAGAACCCAGGTAAGCTGTAGTGGTTATGGTGCTTGCACTGCTCCTTTAAAAACATTTATCATGGAGGAATGGTATTCAACATTCAGGCTTGGTGAGTTAGAAATCACAAATAAAAAGAAATATACCATGTTCATTTGCTTCATCATCGCAGCCATCGGGACCTAATGAAAGGGATACAAAGAAAGTCAGAATTGCTTAAAATACCTAGCAACTACTAACAGGGCTATTCACTAAACTGAGAAAAAAAATAGACAAACTGGAAACAATCTCTAAATAAGCGGTTTTAAGTTCAGATACTCTGGCCTTAAATTTAAAAAAAAAAATCGCTTTCAATTTACCTTGAATTCTCACTTTAGTAAAGAAAACTCTAAGAATGTGTTAATCCCCACACTAGACGGAAAAGTGTCTAGGACAAACAGGGATTTCATTTCCCATCAAATATTTGTATATTAGTACAAAAAAAAATTCATTTATTTTACTTTAGTTCTGCATGGCCTTTTAACCGCGAATGTCATAATACGGTTTGCTTTTACTGCAATAAAACAGTTTTATTCAGCAATGTTTCACGAGTGCAACAGTACCTCCTATATACAGGTTTTATGGTGTTTTGGAAAGTTACAGGGTCAAATATAAGGCATGCCCATTTTAGTTTTTACACATTGAAATTTGCCAGATTGGTTATGTTGCCTTTAAACGGTATAGTAGCACAGGAATTAGAATTACCCCCCATCACGGCAGACCATTTGCAAATGTAGACAACCCAGGGTATCCAATATGGGGTATGACCAGTCTTTTTTGGTAGCCACTTAGTCACAAACCCTAGCTAAACTTAGAGCTCATATAGGTTTTTTTTTTCTTTCCATTTTTCACACACAAATGAAATCCTTATGATGTTTTACTGTTTTGAAACACTCATAAACACCAGTGTTCAGCAAAGTATCCCAAGTACAACAGTACCCCTTGTACAGGTTTTATGGTGTCTGGACTTTCAGCCTCAGTTGTCAGACAGGTCCCTTAAATTGCAATTTCTATATATATGTCCGAATTTCCAAAGTGCAGAATATTGGAAGTACCGAACCGATTTGCCAAATTTTGGAAGTGCCTTGGATTCCTGAAAAGTGGCAAAACAGGAGAGGGAGGGGAAATTCAGGAAATGATTACAGGAATATAACCCTAACCCAAACCCTACTAGGGTTAGGGGTTAGAGTCAGGCTCCACACCCTGCCTCTTTCTTTCTGGTTCTGATAGCCGGATGCTGCTGCTAGGAGTTTCCATTAGATTCCCTTAGCTAATCCCTGCTCTGCGGACTTACCCAGAAAGAGCTTCCAGGACATGCAGAGTAGGGAGCAGCACCTTGTGGAAGCAGGGGTGGAGGGTTAAATAAAACCTTCTCTGTTTTTACAGGTTCTTAACACTGTAGTGTTCCTTCCAGTCCAAAATAGTCAAACTGAAACTACAATTAACTGAGAATTTTTCTAATTCGACTAATTTGGCCTAAATTCAGAAATTCACTTTTAAAGGACCACTATAGGCACTATAGACCACTATGAGGGTGGGGGTACCCTCAGGGCACTACAGTGCCAGGAAAACAAGTATGTTTTCCTGGCACTATAATGGTCCTTTAATTATCAAAAACTCTCACTATAGTAAAAAACCCTGAAAGAATGTAAAATTGTCAGCATATGACTAATATCCCTATATTTTAGGTATATTGTAAATATACTTGTTTGCAGACAATATATGCAGTAAAATAGTGTGAATATGGTTTACAAAACGATTATAAAAAAAAAAAAATTTAAACAATGACCGCAAAATAAATAAAAATCTTACCAGGTTTTTCTCTAAATATTTTTGGTATTCCAGGTATTAACTTTACAAAGAGAGAGACATTAATTAACAGAAGCATTATCAATGCATTGTTTATTACATTGCACATTCAGAATCACTGAATCATTACTCAGGCAGGCGGTGGCCCCCCAGTCTCAGTGTGGGAGGGCAGGTGGTGGCCCCCACAGTCTCAGGGTGGGAGGGCAGGCGGTGGCCCCCCAGTCTCAGGGTGGGAGGGCAGGCGGTGGCCCCCCAGTCTCAGGGTGGGAGGGCAGGTGGTGGGCCCCCCAGTCTCAGGGTGGGAGGGCAGGTGGTGGCCCCCACAGTCTCAGGGTGGGAGGGCAGGCGGTGGACCCCCACAGTCTCAGGGTGGGAGGGCAGGTGGTGGCCCCACAGTCTCAGGGTGGAGGGCAGGTGGTGGCCCCACAGTCCTTACAGGGTGGAGGCAGTGGTGGACCCCAGTCTCAGGGTGGGAGGGCAGGTGGTGGACCCCGCCCCAGCGCGCAAGTGGGAGGGCGCGGTGGACCTGGCAGTCTCAGGCGGGAGGGCAGGTGGTGGACCCCCAGTCTCAGGGGTGCGGGAGGCAGGTGGCGGACCCCAGTCTCAGGGGTGGAGGGCAGGTGGTGGACCCCTGTGTCCAGGGTGGAGGGCAGGGTGGTGGACCCCAGTCTCAGGGGTGGGGAGGGCAGGGTGGTGGACCCCGTGCCCCAGGGGTGTGGGTGCGGGTGGTGGACCCCAGTCTCAGGGTGGGGAGGGCAGGTGGTGGACCCTGCAGTCTCCAGGGCGGTGGACCCTGCAGTCTCAGGGTGGAGGGCAGGCGGTGGCCCCCACAGTCTCAGTGTGGGAGGGCAGGTGGCGGGACCCCAGTCTCAGGCGGGAGGGCAGGTGGTGGACCCCCAGTCTCAGGGTGGAGGGCAGGTGGTGGACCCCCAGTCTCAGGGTGGGAGGGCAGGTGGTGGACCCCCAGTCTCAGGCAGGGCGGTGGACCCCCAGTCTCCAGGCGGGGAGGGCAAGTGGTGGACCCCCAGTCTCAGGGTGGGAGGGCAGGTGGTGGACCCCCCAGTCTCAGGGTGGGAGGGCAGGTGGTGGACCCCCAGTCTCAGGGTGGGAGGGCAGGCGGTGGACCCCCCAGTCTCAGGGTGGGAGGGCAGGCGGTGGCCCCCCAGTCTCAGGGTGGGAGGGCAGGTGGTTGCCCCCCAGTCTCAGAGGATGTTGGCCCCTGCTGAGTGGTTACATTATTATTCTGTAAGTCCGAAGGCTCCGCTTTCCTCGGCCGCCAGGAAACCGCCATCTCAGCACGCAGTGTCTCTCCCACCGCTGGGAGCAGTTACTCTGGCTACGTAACATGGCCACGTGACCCTGCCCCCTGCGTACTCCAAATAGAGATGACCACACCCCCCGCGTACGCAGGAACTACGCGTCCCCGCCCACTGCGTGCCCTGCCTTACCCGCCCATTCCAACGTTGCGCTCCTCGACGCTGATGACGTCACTGGAACCCCCCCCTCCTCAGAGCCCCTATCTGTCCCGGGTCAGAGATCAACACCGAACACAGCCAGTGATAGCATTCAAATAAACCAAGAAATAAATAAATCAACCAACAAATAAATAAATAAACCAATAAATAAATAAAACAACAAATAAATAAATAAACCAATAAATAAATAAATCAACAAATAAACCAAAAAATAAATTAATTAATTAACCAGCAAATAAATAAATAAACCAACAAATAAATAAAGTAACAAATAAATAAATAACTAAATCAATCAATAAATAAATCAACAAATAAATAAATAAACCAGGAAATAAATAAATCAATAACTAAATCAATAAATAAATTAACAAATACATAAATAAATCAACAAATAAATAAACCAACAAATAAATAAATAAATCTACAAATAAAGTCTGAGGAGGTCAAGTTAGTAGGTGGAGGAGGAACAA